GAAATAGCCAGGGTGGTGGGACCTACCCGTGCGGACTCACAAGACGTCCTAAGGTAGAGCGGCCGGTACGCTCATATTTAGCCATTAGCGGTCGTGAGGACAATATATTTTAATGAAAATGAAGCAAAGAACAGCATCACTAAGTGTTACTGAAGATTTGAGGCAGTATATGTCGAGTACTTAGCCCCAACTATTGTTTAGGTGGATACTTACAGGTGGCTAGCTATGTTCTTGTAACTTGATAAGATTTCTCAATAATAATAACCATTTTCATATAAAATTCTGTCCGCTGTCTATGCGAAGACACTTTACGATATCAACCTGTGCGTATTGAAGTAAGATATTGTAGATGAGCACCCAGCGAGGTGGCTGCTGTTCTGACTACAACACACCCGCCGCTCACAGGTCCCGCCACGTCCTGTTTACTGATAGAAATACTAAAGCGAGTTTCATTTCCCGACCAGCGACAGCTCCGAGCCACTTTAAAACTACTTTCTTTATAGATAAATTCCCGATGCATTACCGATTAGACTATTTTTGGGTGCTTTCAAACGATAATCGATCTTATTTCCTTGACCCTTTAGGTTAAAAATGACACTGTGCTTCGTGTACAGGCAACACTCAGAGGAGGGTCGCTGCTTCTCGGGATGAAGTGTTTGTTACTTGTTTGTGATACGTTATAATAACGTTAATATGAAGAACTCGTACTAGCTTTTGTTTATTTGATTGGCCTCGTCACGATACTGCGCTATTGGATATTGCAAATGTTCTCTCTGCCTAATTCGCAACGTCGCTCATTTTGATGAAGAAATGGCACTAGACAGTCTGAACTATAGTCATTCTATCCATGTACATTGCTTCTCCTTATCTCATTCTCATCGATCGTTTGGAACTTGTGGGTGGACAATGGGGGTTCAGTTGTCTCTGTGTTTTGTAATTGTTTGACATAATGCTGTCATGTCTCTTTCAGCATGACACTTCCGGCGACGGCGGATGGTAGGTACATATATAGTACAGGCGCAATGTTCTAAGATTTTATTTGCCACGCGACATCCGGACCATCTGGAATGAGCTCCCCTCCATGGTCGTTCCCGAGTGCTCTGACATGCCCTTCTTCAAACGAACGTTGAAAGAGAGGTTGTGATGTAGGCAACGGCTTGACGGTGCCCTTGGCATTAGTGCTCAAGAAAAAAACAGTGACTATTTATCAAGTATCTCATAAAACTACATTAAGAGATATTGTGAAATTTTCAGATTAAGTTTAGAATGATAGAGTTTAATATGATACGCCGAGAACAATAATAAAAGGGTAAGGTTGGGGAGCCGGTGGGGCGGCGGGGTCCGGGCGGCGCCGGCGCTGCGATAACGCTAATGGACACGCCGTTATCAGAGCCAATCCTCGAGAGAAAGGCACCCGACCCGGCGTGACAGACAACTTTCAATCTTACCGAAACCGCTCTAAGTGAATAATACCCTGCAGGCTTTAGAGTTTTGGGCAACGTTAACGCGACAAATGAATGGGTTCTGGGAAACACGCGGGAAGTGTAATGGAATGGAATGTCAATGTCAGCGTGACGCAAGCGGCGGATCCGCTCGACCGTAAGGGTTCGGCCGCGGGGCAGTTCGCGCGGGGACCGAGTGGACGGGCCGCGGATCTATAAAAACTAGTTTCTTACTGAGGCTCCTAAGATGTTCGCCATTGCCACAACTTTGAAATGATTCGTCAACTTCGTTAATTTGTCTTCCATAACGGAAGCGCCATCATGACTACACATACCTACTACATACATATATGAGTTTTGATGCCTATAAACACCTTTACTAACAAAATAAAATGATTTCTTTTTATTGCTTAGTTGGGTGGACGAGCTCACAGCCCACCTGGTGTGTTAAGTGGTTACTGGAGCCCATAAACATCTACAACGTAAATACCGCCATCCATCTTAAGATATAAGTTCTAAGGTCTCAGTATAGTTTTAATTTAAGTTAAGTTTTAGAGTCAATCGATTTATTCACTTCTCAGAAAATAAAACTAATCATCGAAACAATAAGGTGAATCGGTAGTGAGCATGGGCGCATCGCAGTGTAGGCGCCAGGAATTCGGAGAGCCGCGGGAAATCCTATGATGAAGGCTACAGGGAATCCCGGGGGGGTACATTTGCAGCCCTCGAGTGTGGCGCGGGGAGCCCCGGCCGCGGCGCACTCCTCGTCCTGTCGCTAGGCCGCAGCAACGACTCAGTGTATGTATTTAATAGGGCTGGATAGAAAGAACAAAAACGCTTATAGATATACCTAGCCCAGCCATAAGTTCTGTTACAAATGAAAATTCATTTTTTTAATGGAGTAATGTAATATTATTAAAATTTATACCTACATATTTATTATAGTCTCAACAAAAAATAAAAAAGATTCTGTTCGAAATGATCGTCATTGACTTTTATACAGTCTTTTAATCTGCTTGGCCACGAATCTATGGATTCACGCGCGCGTCTCCAAGGGAAATTTCGCCACTGCTTCCTCCACAGATTTTTTAAGAAACAATGTCGCCGCGCCCTGTCCTTTAGAGCAGGCCATGTCCTCTAAAACTGACCGTAATTTGAAGTTGAGTTGTAGTCTGGGCTAACTGAGGGCCAGTCTTCCGCTCTTATAAAGTATGGAACGTTGGTTTCAAGCCAGGCTATGGTACTTCGTGCCTTGTGTGAGGTGTAGAGTCCGGCTGGAAAGTCCACTGTATATTTTTAAAAAGTGTATTGCTGAGAAGTTTCGCAACATGATCCAAGGCTGTATCTTGATACACTTTGGCTGAAGTTTTACAGAACTGTGAGCGTACATTTTATCATTTAGCTTATTGTAGTGTTCTTTTCTATCGGTAAAGAGGACATTTCGTGCCTTTCACATGCGTATCCACTCTCTTTAATTGTAAAGATTGTTTTAGGGCATGTCCTGTACATCGACGATAAGCATCGAGCTTCAGATCTTGTTTTATAATACGCGGCAGAGTCCTAGTGGGAATCTTCATTTCTCGCGATAAGATTTTTTGCTTCTTAGGAAGCTGGGGTTTCGACGAATTTTGGCTTTAACAGCATAACAGCCTTTGTAGTTCTAACAGCACGCGGCCGCCCCGATCTTTTCTGTTCTTTGACAGACGAAGTGTTGTTGTATACGACTGATACCAAGCCTTTGAATATGACCGACTACTCCTTTACCCACTTTGTGTAAGACGATCACTGCAATCCTATTTACTTTTATCTTTAACACCCCATTCCATATTGTAATTTGATAATGAGCACGATAAAATAGGTAAAATTGCGCAAAATCGAAAGAAGTTTTTACTTAAAATACTATACGTGTACCAAATTCAAAATAATTAAAAAGTTGAAAAAAAGAAAAGTTTTTATGCAACAGTATTTATGGCCAGACTAGTTATATAATATATAGTATAAGGAAAGCTTAATAATTTAGCACATTCTATCAACAGCCTCAACCTTGTGACGGATTTCAGCATTTGAGGTGTCATTAAATATTAATACAACTTAAAGTTAATATTTATAAGTATTACACATTAATGTGTTTTAATTCGTTGTTTTTCGCTTTCTAGTTATTGTTTTATTGCAGTCGGGTGTGTTCTTGTCGTTTAGCATTACGCTACACTGATAACTAATTATATTATCAGCGAGCACCTGACGTTTGGTCACACCGCCGCACCGTTACATATGTGTTCCTTCTTCTTCTTCACTTCACAGCCGTGTCACTCTTGACAGAGTGGTCGTGATCGTCATGTAGTTACTAGTAAACATTGCATATAATATAACATAAATGTGAAGGTACCAGACTAGCCCTTGTACAGAGGACCAACAACACGGTACGCGGAAGCGTATTATAAGGCACGAGCGCGGCGCGGCGTGATGAGTGCCGCCGGCGCGGCGCAAGCGTTCCTAATGTAGTTTAAAGATGGCGGCCCGTCGGAATGCGCTGGGACCAGATCGCGACGTGCGGTCACTTGTCAATAACTTCTACCGGTCGGGTAAACGACCATCAACCACGACAACTCCCTTACTCGCCTTGTACGCACCCCCGGGGAGGCAGGGTGGTGCTACTGCTAATGAAGCCTAGCCTAATTCAAATTGTCGTATGTGTTCACAGGGTGATAGTCGGCCAATTCGGTTCAAAACGTAAGTCTGTATGAGCACTTAGTAGAAATCTAAATAAATTTCTAGAGCGTGTAATTCATAATATTATGTTACGAGTAATCGAATGCGGCTTGAACATATTATCTCGAACGTTTAAATCCAAATAGTGCAGCCAAGTTGAGTTGTGTAACCGAGAGGCGCTGCGTGCGGGGGCGTCGCCCAGCTCTGCGGCGCGGACCCCGGGCGGCCTCCTCCGCGGACCGCACCACACTACCACTACACCATCACTAGACTGGGGCATCGTGGCATCATACCATTACTTCCTACTCAAATGAATGCCCTGCGCTTGAAACCACAATCAGCCGGAGTCGTTACAAAAGCCAACCATCAAGGAAGTTTATTCATTTTTAGAATCGGATCGTGTCGTGACGTAATCAAAAATTGTCGAAGAGCCCTATCGCCATCAGAATGGCAAATGGCAAAAAAGGACCTTACGGAATACTAGTTTCATCGAGCCTATTTGTCTGTGTCACAAATATTTGTTTGAGAGATTGTTATGGGCACTATTTTAATATAAAACAAAATTGACTAACCAAATATTTTTGATACTATACTGTTGCACTTATAATCGCAAGATGCGCTCAAATAGTACATCGGTTGTTACTTCACGAGCTCCCACGCACCCTCGCCACCCTCGCCACCAGGGCTGAACGGCTCCTAGCTTCTTTCTAATCGGCTTTGTATTTTGGATAACGTTACTTTTAGATTACATTACAATTAGTGAGTTCACCGGGAGACACACAACGAATGAGGCGTACGTACATGCGAGTATCATAGACATGAGGTGTACGAGTATAAATAACATCTTACCTTTAGGTTTATAGTCATCCATGGCAAAACGAGTGTATGGCGGCGGGGGGGTTTCTGAAACAAACGAAAACATATAGATTACTTTAATATTCCTTCAAATGTATCCCATTCATAATGTCTTCAAAGTTACATCAGGTTTCCACTACAAATTATATAATATATTTTACTATTGTACATAGATGCAGATACACTATTGATTCGATATTTTGGCGCAGAGGGAAGGTGCACTTCGCGATGTCCTGTCCTTCGGAAGTTATCCTTCGAGACAGGCACTACATAGAACAAGCCAGGAGCCGCGCCAGCCTCGACCACAGCCATTCGACACCCGTATCGTTTGTTACCTTTTGTGATTTACTGTAGTTAAACTATAGCATCAGCAGGGTGGACACGCATCTCGGTTATAAATGACCAATACCAGACCCCGGTGCTTCATTTCCACAAAGAGGAAGGGCAAGAGCAAGACTTATTTTCATCATCACCAAATAATATTGGTATTGCGAAGCGAAGACGGATTTAATATGCTTTATCAATTCACGCGGTACATGTTTGCTCTATGTGCAAGTGAATCCATATACATAATTATGTATACTAGAATATGGATTTAATGTCCCTGGGACATGAGGTGGCAGTCGCCATAGTGATGATTAGGCCTACCCGTGTGGCCTCGTCGCACACCGTACCGCCGGCCCAGTGCAACTAGACAAACCTAATATATGGTAGAAGTATTGTGCGAGTGTCTCGCGGGAGCAGCTCGCGGGTAAGTTTGCCGCGTTGTTTAAATCTGGAACGCGGTACATTCCATTTATAAACAAACATCCAAACAGGCACGCGCTATTGCTCGTTTTGAATTTCGAACAACATTAGTGTTTTCGAATTCTGAATGTGAATTGTGCAATCGTAATTTGCAATTCGGCGCCAGGCTTCGGCACCAGCGGACGTGTCCGGATTGTTTTTCGACCGAACGGGCATTATGAATACAAATTATCTGAACCATTCCGATATGCTCAATCCTATTATATTGATATGAGTTTGTCTTCGGGCGCGTTCCGAGAAGCGCCTCACGGACGTTGCGCAAGAAATGTCAAAACATTAGCGCGTCGGCTCCGGTGCACGCACCTGCATACTGACGAGCGCTCGCAGCGAACGCTCGGAATGCTCGAGAGTCGCGACATAAATCAGCACGTCACTTTTATTGGATTTTTATAAACCGACGCCCGCGCCGCCTCGTTACTGCTAATGACATTCTTACACGAACGCAACCACATCTGTTGGACGATTAACATCTCGTTAACACCATGACGCGCTTATCTAACACTAAAGCGTTTGCAAATATCCGTTTCAAGTCTACGTTGTAGATCATTGTCATCGATCTTGGTACAATTATCTAGAAGTTCAGTATACCTGAGACGAGCTCGAGAAGTCCCCCATAGACACAGCCCACTGAGTTTCTCGCTGATGGTAGGTTCTGCGAAGTACTGCTTTTGCTAGGCTTTACTAGGGTTAGTGTTAGCAAGTTTTCTCAGGATGAGCCCGTGAGTTCACCTACTCGTCCACGCATAGGTGGAATAGCCGCTTAGTTTACTAGCGAATAGGTAAAGGGGGAAAAGAGAAGCTTACAACGTATTGAATCCTTAACAAAAAGTAACGGGTAGTGTAACGCGCATAGTTTACCAGATATATATAAATAATATCAGAGTGAGTGCTGGCGCGTTTTGATTAGCTAAATTTAAATTATATCGATCGAGAGAAAAACGTTTTCTTGTTTCCAAGTTCGTCCAACATGGTCGTGTAGTGTTGTGTGCACACTCTACGACTACGTGCACAAACACACAGCGGGCGGGAGCGGCGGGATGTGCTGTTCACTCGCACGGCACACGCGCCAGAACGTTCCCAGGGAACTAGTCCCTCCACTGTAGACCGATCCGACTCACGTTTTTATTGTGAACGGTTAGTCTGTTCGGTGTTCGGTGTAAAAAGTCTTGTTTTTAACCGAAACTAGAGTTTCACTTAGTGGACCGATCGCGCAATCGAATGGAAATCTTGAGTCAACCTAAAATGCAAGTGTGAGAGCTCCGCGAAGGACCGGCGTGTGTGATTAATCTGGACGTTCAATCTGTAGCAATAAATGTTGTAGGTTGTACATACGTCAGTCGACTCGTCCGATTAGTACGCGCCCATCGTACCACTTCCGTGTCAACTACTGTTTGTAGCCCTCGGCAATGGGTTGAACAATGATAGTGTTTCGTGTTGTCATCTCTTAATGAGTTGAGGGTGACCTGAGGGTCGGCGGTCATTAAACTGACTTGAGTCTTGGATAGAACTGATCCAATCAGAGGACGGCTACTTGTTGCCGTGGCAATTGCGCAGATTTCTCAGTCATAACATTTACCTTCTCTGGTTTGAATCATCAACTATAGCGGCTCATATTTAGGATTTCTCATAATGTGCCCTAGACACTCCAACTCTCGACCCATGATGACGTAGTAGAATACTTCCCGTTTCTGCTTAGCGCGTCGCACTACTTCCTCGGCCGTGACCTTGTCTCTCCATCATATTGTCAAGTTGTTCGAGAACGATCTTCGTTTTGAAGAACGCAATCGTTCCTTGCCGTCGTGCAGCTATAGCGGACGCGGGAGTGTGCTTCGATTGTATTGTTGTATCTCAATCGAAGTGCGCGCAGTTGTAGTCGCTCCGTGCTCGGCGGGGCTCGGCGGCGCTCGGCGGCGCTGTATGTTTGTTGCTGAGTCGAGGCGGCGGCGGCACACTCGAGGAATGCAATGACACATGGCTTACTTTAAACGGTTATGTTACATTCAGAACTAGTATCTTTTTAGTTTGTGCCACACTGTTTTCCATACAAGAATTGTTTTATAAAATAGCTTTTCTATATATAATATGATTAAGTTTAAATTAGGAATAGAGACAAGTTTTTTTGTGAAAAACAAGACCAAGGGGCTTCCCTTGGTCTTGGTTAGCGTTAGTTCATTGAAATGTCGTTCATCGGCTCTCTTAATTAACGAATTATAAGCTTCATTTCTTAAAAACAATAGCAGCCGTTTTCATAATTAAATATTAAAGAATTTAGCTTTAAATCGGTGGCCTGCTGAGAGTAGTGTGTAGTGAGCAGTCGCGGGCCACGCTTCGAGCCGGTGCGGCCTCCGAGGTGATATCGTTCAAATATATCTTATATTTTGTTTATTACATAAATATAATTAGCGTCGGTGCCAGCGAGTGTGGGTCGTCTTGGACAAGTTAGTATGGTGAAGACACGTCGTGACAACTAGTAGAATATTATCCTTTCTGATACAGAATCATTTGTAGCTTCCTAAAAGTTTTATAAATGGTGGATAAAAATCAAGAGCGGCAACAATAGGAGCTCACTTGGTCTGCGGAGGGACTTCAGTTCCCTCTGTATTTTGTACCGTATGTTCCATGGGGAGTGCTCTGAGGAATTGTTCGAGATGATACCAGCATCTCGTTTTTNAAAAAAAAAAAAAAAAAAAAAAAAAAAAACTTGAAGGCTGTCCGGTTGTACGCGAGCAACTTAGCATCAAGGTTCGCTCCCCTGTCCCCGCCGTGCCTGCAAAGTCAGGTGACGTTGCTGTCTGTGGGCCCAGTTAGTACTTGTACTAAGCTCACTCAGCGCTTACTGGTGTTGCACTAAGCGATGGCCCATAGTCGTGTTTAATTGCCTCTGCAGGTCGATAAATCTTTGAACTATATACCTATTATTACTGTAATTTGGGATCACGATAAACTGGTCGGCGCGTTATGAGCGTCACGTAGTACGCGCGCGTGAAGGACACGGCAGTACAACATATACAATAACATAATGAGCACCTCCGAACCAGCTCCGAACTAGTCGGCAGCGCGACACCTGTGCGCAGCGATGACGTCATCAGAGCTCACCGCCGACACTGAATCTCATTACTGCTTCAGGGTTTCACCTCTTTTACTACTTTTAGATAACAATCTAAGGATTTAAAACCTTCAAAAACAACGACATGTCTTTTAAGGGCCTTCACTTTTTGTGGTCCCTTCAGGCGAAATCGTACAGTAACTAGAGGTAACAAACAATTATGACAACAAAAAAAACCGTCATACAGAGGTAGAGTTGCGAGCGCGCACGCGTGTGAATCGACAGAAATAGCTCGCCCGAATTATAACGTGTCGGATGGCGCCAGCGACGGCGCCGGCCCGCCGCGCGTCCGCCTCACCCACGCGCCGGCTTCACCTGCCCTCGCCACCAGCGGGACTATCCAACCCCACAGTACCAGCTGGCGAACAGAGGCGAGCAGGACAGCCGTTCTGACTTAACTGTGAACAGCATCGTCCGCGCCCTCTTCTACATACCTATATGAGGGTAAAAATATTTATCAGACTAGACAGCATTGGTTATCTTGAAACTATGCCGCTTTACAACTATAGAGACGAATCTAAAAGCGGAGACGAACAGATAATAGGGAGCAGCGTGGCGGTGGCGCGGTTGCTAAGGAATCAATCACTTCCAATTATGAGCAATACTCGCTGTTGCTTCAACTGACTTGTATCTTCCGTACTGGTCCACTTGCTATCATATAGCCTGTACACAAGTGTTGGGACAGCACCTCTCATTAGACGCAAGTCAAACATTACACGACGCCACGACTAGTGTCGAGCAGCACTGAAAGGAAGGGTTCTTCGTTATCGACAGGAGGGTGATGAAGCCGACCGAGCGTCTCGTCCTTCTGCCCATTATTGAACTATTTTGTGTGTTCAGGTAACTTTTATAGGCTCTCTGCGTGTGGTTAGCCAGATCAGGTTTAGTGGGATGTTGTTACCCTTAATGTGATGTTGCGCTTTTAGCACTTGCTAAATCCAGGTTGAAATTGAACTACTACTACAATGTCATTCCCTTTTAGTAATTATGTAGTTATGACTTTAATCAAAACATGAATGGCCAAGCCGCAGAACAATGCCTTAACATTTATTAAAGTTAGATTTTAAAGGCAACGTAGTAACGTTTATCTTCAGTTTCAAATTTTAAAATCTGAACTTGAACACACGACTGTAGA